TATATTACTTGTGTGGTGTAGAAGATAATTATTTAAGAATGTAATTATGTAAGAATGTTAACATTTCTGTTATAATTCTTTAGTATATTACTTGTGTGGTGTAGAAGAGAATTATTTATGTAGAGATACTGCTTGTAAACCAATGATGGTAAGATGATGTCATGGGGTAGGACTGGATAAGTCTGACTTCTTCCTCCTCCATTCAAGCATGTACTAGGTATAAGCAAATTGATATTGGATTAGCATTTGTTGGATATGTGTAAAATTATGTGTGTTGACATATCAACTGTCTTTACATTGAAAGAATAAATCAAATCAAATCAAATCACCTGTAAAATCACAAACTGTAGGTTCAGTGATTGAATCAGTTTCCTCCACCAGTCAAAATAGCTCTGGTTCAGGAGTTGAATTGGCCACTTGATGTGTTTCACTACTGTCTTACATTCAGTGACATTCTGTCTCTGGCATTAACACTTCCTGGAAGAAGCAGGTTGAAGAATCATATTCATCTACAATCCAGAGAGTTACGTGCAAAAACCGATGTGACACACTAGGAAAATGCAGCTGCATGCCATGATGATTGGTAGGATAATTTAACATGAAACACTGTTGAGGTAGATGTAACATTAATGTTCCTTTCAGTCGGATATCTTTGTGTTGCTATCAGACAGTTACGGGGTTAATACGGGCAGTCAACCATAAATCATCTCTAAATGTTTGCTGCTGAAACCTCCCTGTTTTAATGTTATCTGACGATTTAGCGTCACCTTTCAAGCTGAACCCGGTGAAGAGGATTTTACAGTACAAATGTAAGTAAGTCCAACTTCTGCAGAGCAGAGGGCACTGTGAATAAAACACAGTTTTCCACAAACCTCACAATAGATGGGAACAACACGTGTAACCATGGTAATTGTACACAACCAGGATGAAGAAGATACAGCCCACGGTAAATATTAAAAATTCAGCTTGAAAATGATGAAAACTAGACTAAAATGTGTTTAGTTTTTATTGATTAAAATAACAAAAATCAAAAGACTAACATCTGACTAAAAGTAATATGCTTTTTCATCAAAGGACTTAGACTAAAATGAAATCAAATTCAGGTGTGAAGATTAGCAGTGCATTTAACCCTAAAGCTGAAACTTAACCCCAAAATAAACTGTTACATTTATGGGGGCCAAATATTTGTCCCCAGAAAGCAAAGGAGTTCCCTCAAAGTAATGATGTCCCCACATAATACATACACACAGGCACTGAGGCACATATACATGGGCACTCCCCACCTGTAATTGCTGTGTTTTGGCAGCCAGTCCATTGGTATCCATGGTAGCAATAAAAAGAGGTATGTTGCCATGGGGACTGCCCACTCCTCCTGCTAGACTGATGCCCAGGGAGTCACATGGACCCTGTGGTGACAGCAAACACTCGTTATAGACCCGTTAAGACAATATCACTGAATCACATGGCAGACTAAGCACATTAACAGCTTGTGTTATGTAAGGCAGGGATCCAGTCAGGTAAGGAAGTTTGTCATTTGAAGTGAAAGGAAAAAAACACTTAGTGCTCACAGCTAAATTCTAACTTTCTGAAACTATACATCAATTTTAAAATTCAGTTTCTCCAAGACAGTATGGGGCACTAATAAAAACATTTACTGATTATTATTTCAAAATTTTAGGTCTCACCTTTTGTACAGTTACTCCTCTGATGTCAGTGTAGTCTTGAAATGCTGTGTGAGGATAAAGATATATGGTCAATTTTAAGTCGTTAACAGCATAATTTCCACTTATTGTAAAATGTTGAACACCTGAGAGGCAAGACATAATCATTTTAATCTTAATAATAAACAGGAATTATATTATATACTTTCAAACAATACTTCTGTACATACTGCCAAGTGCTACTCACTGTAGCTTCCTGTTTTGGTATCTGTCTCCCTCTGGTGGCCAAGTGAAGCATCACAACCACTTGAGGGGGTCAGGGTGGAACAGTCAGCGTCTTCGCTCTGGATAAAACACAACTTAAAGTACTCCTAGGTTCACAGAGTATTATTGTTAAACTAGTGCATAAGGGTAGTAATAGTAACGACAGAGTGAGCTGATTTAAAAAAGCTTGAATACAGTGTATTCAGGGTACAACTTATTATAACATCATACATTTGAATATTTATTTATGTTATGTTTTATACTTTTATGTCATTGATTAGACAAAGACTGCCAGGGGAAACAGTTTACCTGGTTACGCTGTGAGTGCTGCACCCCAGGTTTAAAACGAGCCACATCCAAATGGACTGCTCCGCTGCAACTCTGAGAGCAAAGCGATACATCGCACATGAGATGATGACACCATAGAAAAATGCAAAAACCTATTGCTGATTTGTCTATGGAATTTTTGTGTATGTGTAAGTGAAAATATGTCAGACCTGTAAAAGCTTCTGAGCATGTTCCTGTGATGCTGCACGGACATCCTCTCCGTTGATCGACAGGATCTGGTCACCTAGCAACAATCTGCCATCTGAATCTGCTACGCCTCCAGTGATGATATCTGACACAAAGATACCCGTGTCATTGCTGTTGGAGGAAAACAGAGGTCAAAAACTGTGTCTCTTCCATGCTTATAGAATCAGTTACAGCACCTGATAGCCTGCTGTTTTGCATAATGTCACACTTGACTGCATAAAAACTGCACTGAAACTCTTAAGAGTGTCCTCCCAGCAGCGTGACCCCAAAGGCCTGGCTCAATAACCTTTATGGTGATTACTGAATGCTATAACAGTGTCTGATTTCATTGCCTTTCTGTTTTACTATAATATCAATCCTTGCTCCCTCTGACATTTAACCTGGTAAAACCCTTATCAAATGTGGGTTGACAGACTGAGCTTAAAAGTGTTTTTGATATATTTAAATGTACTTAGAAATGTACTTTAAAAAATGTTTTTAAAAAGATTAACCAACAGAAGTGAATTCTGATTATATTTGAGGGAAGAAATGCACATATTGTTGAATCACTTCCTTAAAGGAACAACACAAAGTGTGGGCGTGTTTGCGCATATGTTAAATTCAAAGTAGAATGCTGCTTGCTGCCATCATCATCAACCTCCTCCATTTTGGTACAGTTGCTGGACTAATTTTTTGTAACTGCTTTCCAAACTAATATCTTACAACAGAACTGACCTGGCCAAGTTGGCTTTAGGAAGTACAGTAAGCCTACATCCTGCATGCATAAGTATCGAGGCTTGTCTAGGAGCCTAGCTGACAGTTAAACTTTGCCAGATGTGCATTTCTGCTGTGAATATACCAACTTGACTGTTCCTCATTTGTTAAACAACACTACGAATATACCTCTTGCCTACAGTTGCGAACCCCAGTCCCTCCCCGGGATGAGGTCTGAGCTCGAGGCTGAAAACGTCCCACAGGTCCTCTTCCCTGTAGGCTTCTTGCTGCCTGAAGACACACAGGTGAACACGCTGGGTGGTGAGCCTCAGCACACCAATGGCCTCATCATGGGTGGCCTGCCGCAGGTTTATACCGTTTACCTGGGGGAAGTGAGAGAAACACAGGGTGCAGTGATGTGAATGGGAGGGTAACTTATATTTGGAAATCTGAAATAGTAGACAGTGTTTACAACTAATGGCAGGGAGGGCTCTATCATGGTTAATGGCTATATTCCCCATAGCATCAGCCTACTCATTTGTTACTGCTTTGAAACATTAGCATTTTTGCTGAGCCTTGTTGATCTGCATGATTTGTGCACTGGCTTGTGAATACTGATTTTGTTGCCTTTGATGATGGATGTAATTTTGTCTAAAATGACTACTGGCATATTTACAAAAATGTTGATTAATGTGTGTTGTCCTTATAAATAAAGCAATGAGTAATTAAACAACTTTTAGAAAAGCATAATAAATTAAAGACACATTTAACATTTTACCAAAATAAAAACTATTAAATTTAATGTTAAAAAAAGGAAGTTGCTGGGCTGTAAAAATAAATGAAAACAAGTTAAAGCTTTGCTAGTTAGCATTAATCTTAATGATATAACTATAACAGGTTGTATAATGGTATGTTTGAGTGTACCCATAATACCTCTAATATCTGGTCTCCAGCCTGCAGCCTTCCGTCTCTCTGTGCTGCTCCGCCATGATTTACTTCATGGATTATTACTGCCCCCTGGTGTAAAATTCAGAAAACACTCTCATTATCATAGACACCTTCAGTAAAATCCTGCTAAACCTAAGCTGTAATCTGTTGTTATACTTAATACTGCAGACACCACCATGCATTTAAACATCAAGGTGTACAAAATATTTCTACAATGCAGCTTCCCCACTTTTACTCATAGTGTTTATGCAGAAGAAGCATTTGAGTGTGGAAAAAACCCATGCACACCTAATTTGATGCCTTCTACTACCAAATAAAAGGTAGGAATAAATATTAAAGTATAAATGAGAAACAAATGAATGATTAAATCATGAGTCTGACTTTAAATGTGCCTGATTTTGCTAGGAAGGTTTGTCTAGACCCATCATATACTAACTAACTAACTAACTAAAAGTTCCTTACGTTTTACATGTAAATGCTGATGTCAAGTGTCGGCTGGTACCATACCATACATACCAGCAGGGTGTCACATCCTCCTACAATACTGAGACCCAGGCCAACATTTCCTTTACAGATCTCTATGGTGGTTTCCCTGCCAGGCACAACTGGACAGCTCAAGGGGTCAGAACCTGTGTGAGCAGATCCTAACCAATCAGACCACGTTGTGGGAGAGGCCTGTGCAGTATTAAGGGATGAAGAGGAGGAAGAGGAGACAGGGAGGGTTAGGGAGGAAGCAGGGGACAGAGAACAGGGATGGGAATGAGAAGAAGGCAGAGGTAGTGTGGAGGAGGAGGAGAGACTCTTGGGACGGCTGATGGTGAGTTTGACGGCGACTTGGTGTTTGAGAATCAAACTGGACACCTGAATACAGAGAAGAGAGGTGAGACATAAATCGCTAAATCACCATGACCTTAATGTGCACGTTGTGCGTGTGTTTGTGTGGTTGTACCATATCTACTGGCAGTCCAGCCACAGGTTCATCACCCACTGCTATGATCCTGTCTCCAACCTTTATTCTACCATCCTGCACACAGATAAAAACATGAATAAAAAACTGAAAGTTAAGCAAAATTCATGTCAGTGTATGTAAGCGAAGTACGGGGAGGGAGAGAGATCAAACACAGCCTCTGGACAAATACATGAAACCTTATTAGTATGTTATGACATCACTTTGAAACATGGAAACCATCATCTCATGGTTAGCCGGGTTTAAATATTACCGCAAATGCCAAGACATTAGAGCTGTAACATCACAGTGTAAGTACCGTATATTGCCCAGTAATGTGATACTCACTCATGCTTCTTTACTCTGGTAGATGATTGATTGTCAAAGTTACAGACAAATAATAAAATGTGCAAACTGCAGAAATAATTCCAAAAAAATTATTAAGATAAAGCCTATTTCCCCAGTGTGGGATCAATAAAGTCTTACCCTACCCTACCCTACCCCTACGTTAACGCAGATGATGGTACAGTACCACATAAAGTCTTCTGCTTTATTTTGAGCTAACTGAAGGATAAAGTGCAGCGGTGGAATGTGATTAAATAACATTTGCTCAACTACAGCACAAAAGTTGTCTTTTTTATGCTACTTTAAACTTCTAGTCATCAACATTTCTGAGTCAAATATCCATCAATGATCTATAACTGTCTACATCTTAATGCATCAGTAATAATGACCCAATAATATCATGTAACTCATGATGATGTTTATGCTGCTGCCTGTTGAATACTTCTGTAAGTGCATTTTATCACCAATTCATTTGCATGTGTAGTAAAGTACATTAATAAGGACTTCTACTGGTAATGAAGTATTTTTATGGTGCGGTATTGACAGTTTTAAAGGACCCTTCTTCTATCAGTGATAAAAATGCATGGAGCTGAACAAGTACTGATGATTCCATGCACATTTATATAAGAGAGTAATAAATAGTACTGAAATGGCTTTTAGCACATAGGCATGGAATGAAATCCCTATAAAAGAAACACATTTTGGTTGTTTTAATTGCAACAATGCTATTGATGATATCGCACCTTACTGGCAGTGCCGTGCTGGATCAGGGACCGGACCACCAGTCCTTTCTTGGACTCCTCCTCTGCCATGCAAAGGCCAAGACCTACATGATCCTGGAGGGCGATGTGACAAAGATAGCAGACAACAAACTGTAACTTTAGAGTCCAGCAAGAATCAATGAGACTAACGGCAGTCATGTATAAAAGATTTGTGTTTGCTAGCATGTTCACAATGAGGATGGGAGGGACATTATATTTCCTCCTGTATCAATATGATTCTGCTACAACTCAGCCTTTTGCTTTAATTATGCAGCTGCCTGGAGGTCTGACAATGGATTTACTGAAGGTATTGTACCTGAGGTAGGATGATGTGCTGGATGTCTGGGGATAATCCTTCATGCTCTGCAGAGTCTATCTGGAAGTCGACTGTGTCACTGCACTGTGTTTGGGATGCCTGGGCCGTTTGACCCAGAGCTGTATTATTCCTAGTAAAACAACACCAAAGCCTGCTATTATCCCTAAGCTGGTCATCAACACCAACAGTATATCCTGCTTAGCAACACACAAGACCACTCTGAATGTTACCTGATGAGGATGATCTTTACTTTAGATGGAGTATTATTAATGATTTTCGAGGCATTTTGTTGACTGCGGCCGTACAAGATCTGTCCGTTGATCTAGAAAAAAATTAAAATTGTCTTCTTCATCCCATTTATCCATCTTTTTCATCCACATTAATCTGCCTTTCAGCTATCTCCTCCCCGTCTCACCCGTCAGTATCTCCTCTCCCTTGATTCTCCTCCTCATCTCTATTACATGGTTGTTCATTGCAAGGATACAACCAGCATCAACCATCCTTCAAATTTGTCTGATAAATCTACTGTCTGGGTAACTCCGCACAGTCTTCCCATCCATGCCTCCTACTGTATATACAATACATAACCCACTGTTCTCCTTTTGCTGCTCTCAATTTTCTGTAATATTTTGTCTCCCTCTAGGACTCCAACCCTTGTTGGCCCCTAAAAACCCTCTCATATGCCAATCTCAACTCTCCTAACTGACTGTCCCTTACTTTTCCCACTCACTCTCCTCCTTACCTCTAGTAGCTCGTCTCCAACCTGTATTCTCCCATCTAAACCAGCAGGTCCTTGAGGGTCGATATCTTCCACAAAGACACTCATGCGGGCCCTAGAGCCATTTTTGTTGCCTGTGAGGCTGATTCCCAGGCCGTGAGCCGCGGGGTCCTTCTCCAGTTCAATCATATGGAGCTTTCCAGGCAGGCTGCCATAGCGCTGAAGCATCTTTTCTATTAAAGAGCGTTAACAAACAGGAGGCTGTTAGGAAGAAGACATGATGGGTAAGCCAAAAAAACAAAAACAAAAGTGTGTTACAGCCTAGAGGAGCTTGTGTGTGTGTAGCTGCAATTTGTCTGGAAGGGATGGTGTTAGTCATGTTGAGGGAAAGGTGAAGGATGCTTCTGGATAATGAACAGATACAGTATGAATGTATATGGCTCGTGTGTGCATGCTTGTGACAAGAGGTGTGTGTATCTGTACAGGTGAACACAGGTACTGTATCACTATATACAGTACAGTATATGATGTATATTTGTGTGAAAATGTGCAGTTAATCTATGTATGTACAATGCAAGTCTATATCCATGTGTAATTACTTACATTATTACATACTTATTATTAATTACTAAATAATTGGTATGATTTAACAGCTTTGATTAGTGGTCTAATACATCACTCAGTTACTATGCTACTGTGCAGGACCTGGTTCCAAAATGCCAAAATGGCAGCCTTTATGTTGACCATATTTTGTCTTCACTTTTGCCTATTGGAGGGAAGAGATTGTACATTGAACTGTAGCAATGTGCAAACAAAGGTAGTGAAGAAGAAAGCCACCACCTAGCATACATGGATACAACAAACTCTCAATTCTCATCTGAAAACTACCATAAAACCCATTCATACAAATGAAAGCACAGTAGTTTTCCCAGAACAAACTGTCAACATACACATATACATACATATGTGTATGCATCTCTCATACATATACATACAGCATTTCCGGCTGTATTCATGGCCCAGAGTGTAGACATATTACAGTAAAGTGTGGGCCCGATCAACTGGGCACACATGGAAATTACATGAAAATAAATAGCGGTTCTTGGTGACTTTTTTTTTTTGTAGTGAATGTATATAGTGCAAAGTATTTCTGGGTCAGAGGGCATCACATGAGGGGTACAGTATACTGTATGTCGGTGTGATGTCTTTATTTTATTTTCGTTATTTTGATTTATTTTTTCATTTCATTTCATGATGCAGACTTACTCCTGCCTATATCATCCTTGTCTTCGGCTGCGGCTGTGACTGGCGCCATGACACTTACGGGGCTTCTCCGATCCTTTCTATCGGATGTTGGCGAAGGTACCTTGGGAGAAGTTTTGCATTATTGAACAGGCAGAGTTGGAGATGCCTCAGGGATCCTTCAGGCATAAGTTGGACTATCCCTGAGGCTTGTTCAGTGTGCTTGATGTAGCAGTGGGAAAAAACTGATGAACAGGATGAATTAATGAACACAGATTTAATGCCAGCTAAAAATAACATGAAAGATGACCAGAATTGTGCATTATTTTGTAGCCAACTTATATGTGTATAGAAAAATAACTTCAAAAGAGTGTCCTAGGTCTTTTAAAGAGTTATGAATCTCCATCAAAGAAAAACAAAAAAACAAAGGGTTTAAATAAACAAAGTAGCTGCAAGGGACTTTGAACTATACCGGTTCTATCTACAAATATGCACGTTAATTAAGTTTTTGGAAGCTGGCTTAGTGTAAATGTTAATGGAAAACTGCTTTTAAGATCCCGCATACCCTTGATAACACACACACACACATACAGCAACACACACAAATTACCAACCTTAAAGGGGGTGGGAGTGAAGGGATTTGTGGGAGAGAGACTAAGGAACAGACCACTGAGAATATCTGCTTCCTACAATCATGAGGGGAAACACAAATATAGTCATGCACACATCGTCACCAAAACGGAACTCTGCCTCTTACAAACCCTTTAGCAGATCTTCATTCTTTTTGGAATCCCATGTAGGCGTCATGACTCATCACTCTATACTGTAGCATATACATAACACGCTCTATACACTACAGCCAAACATCAGTAACTGTGTGGGAACAGGAAGGACACAGCTTGTCGTCTGTTCCAAATCTAAAAAAAAAACTGCTACTGCTCTTTGACTCTGTATGGCAGTGTACAGGTTATATTTCTGTGCATATCACTTTCTATACTAGAGAAGCAGTGAAAAATCATTATCTCAAGGCTAGAATAAATTTTACACCACATTTATCTAAAAAAAAAACAAAAGGCGTAGTGATAGAGCAGTGTTACCTTGTTGCTGAGTGAGTTGGACTGTGGTGTTGGAGTTAGCCGCTCATGGTTGGTGAGCATAGGAGACTGTGGGCGAAACATAAGATGCAGAGTAGGCAGATGAATATCTACTGCATATAACTGTGAAACACAGACGCTTTAAACGGTAGACCCAATGCTGATGTTATATGATTTGTTATATGATATCGGGTACATTGTCTGTTGTTCAGTTGCTTTGTGTCCAGAGGACATCATGTTGTAATGCTACAAACTCCCACACACAGCAGTGCTGAAACTTCTGATGGACTTTTCCAGTAGAATATACACTTCACTTTCACTTTCTGAGTATTGAAATTGTGTTTTCTAAGATGCAGTACCTGAGATCTGTGGTGTCCTGACTGGACCAGGAAGACCACAGAGTCTCCAGCCCTGCGGATGGCCTCCACCGCCTCCTCGTGGCTGGCATCTCTTAGGTCCACACCACACACCTTGACCAAGTCAACACACACAAAAAACACATTTCCCACCCTCTCTTCTTATGGACTGTGGACAAAAACCTTCCACGTTTTGAAAATGAAAATGAGTTTGACTGTATATGGATAGAATCAAATAGAATGTTTTAGGCTAATATAGTGAAATTACAGTTTGATAATCCAATAAATCTATATTGCCTAAAAGCAGTTCTACTCAACATAGTCTCCAGTGACCTAATACAACCAGAGACAGCTACTTTACATATGGAAAAACCTCAAAAGACTAATGTCTAATGTTACAATAGTGTGTAATAAAAATGTTTAAATAATGCACGTACTGTATATACAGTAGATACATTACAGATAATTGTATACTTTTGTAAATGACAATGTATATTTTTTTAATTCTACCTTGTTCCTAATCTTTCACTCACTTTCAGCACTTTCACTTTCTTATTTTGTATTCTATTATTTTGTTATATTTATAAAATTTCTGTGTGTGTAGTACATTGGCCTACAGCCAGATTTTATTGTGCAATCTTGTACTGTATAATGAAAATAAACCTTGGGCCTACAGTAGACCATGGCTTGGCGTAAATAACACACCAGAACAGAGACCACAAACAATGCCAAATTACCGCACATGCAGCTACAGTACAACATACATACTTTATATATTGTACAGTATTTGTACGCCGGCTGGAAATATACACAACAATCTTTTTTTAGCCTATTTTAGTCTCTCTGTACACGTACAATATAGCCATGCAAGAACACACCTGCACACACTCTTGTTTTCTGCAGTTTCCTATAAGTGTGTCTCTTTCTCTGTCTCTGAAACACACACACACACACACACACACACACACACCTCTAGTATCCTGTCTCCAGTCCGGAGGGTGCCATTATGTGCTGCTGGGCTGTCGGGGCTGATGTGCTTGATGAAGACTCCCCTCATCATCTCTCCACTGCTCAGTCTCCGGCCCATGCCTCTGCCTCCCATTATACTGATACCCAGGGACTGGCCTGGTGCTCGAGTCAGCCGCACACTGAAACACGAAGCAGGATACAAGGAATATCCACACATGTTGTAGAGCTGAAAATCCTTATTACTGTACAGATAGAGTGATGATGAATTCATTTGTTCTGTATGCCTGATTGGAATCTACTTAGCTGGAAACATAACTGCAAAAACGCACAAAAAGAAGAATTAATCCAGTGAATGTGCTGTTTTTTTTTCCCTTTCCGTCTTCCTCTATCTACTGCTTAGGGATATGGATAGAGTTTCAGAGATTAAGTCAAAACAATAGAATATTATACCTGCCAGGGAGACGCACACAAAAGCTTGACTTTGTATAAAGTGCGGCTTATGTGATTTACCCAAGGGGGATACAGTAAATGTGATAAATACAGGTTGGGAACATAGTGTTGAGTCTACACGGTGCTGTGAACATAACCTGAGCACACCAGGAGTGTGTTAAGCCTATTTTGCCACAGAGAGGGTAAAGGGCTAGAATCAGGGGCAGAGTGCTGTAAGTATGTGTGCATGTATACATGTATGGATGGATGAATGGATGAAAATCTGAATAAAATCTAATGAGAAAAAAGACATTATTACTGACATCTCTGAGTCACTAACCTTCTAGGTGGATCCCAAGACACAGTGGTATGAGAATGCTGCTCCCCACCTCCCTCGTCCTTATCATCCACCTTTATCTCCGTGTCCAGCTTTGGTGCTTTCAGAGCCGCACTAAGCTTGTCCTTTTTGTCCTCCACTGTGTTGCCATCTTCTTTTCCTTCTTCTTTATTCTTGTGAGGTAGAGATTTTGGAATCTGCCAACTAATAGTTAAAAAATATTCAAGCAGAAATAATATGGAATTAATTGGTGATGTTGAATTGAAATCTAATGACTGGAGATACATTTTACATGAAGTTTGATTTAAAACTTAAGTTAATAATTACCACTTAAATAATATTCCCTATAGCACTGATACCGCCAGTTAATTAACAGTTAGTGATAGAAAAATAATTGGCAACAATTTTTAACTGTTTCCTAGTTATCACACATATATAGCAAACATTTCTCTTGCTCTACCTTCTCAGATGTCTGTGTAAAGTCACTGTGAATTAAAATTCTTTGTGTTTTTGACAGTTGGTGGGTCAAAACAAAACATCTGAAACCATCTAGAAAACTCTTGCCACATTTTCTTCAGAAATTTCTAACATTTTCTAGACTAATGCTGTATATAAACTAAACAAAGTGAAAATAATGATTAGTTATTGAAGTCCACAATTTAAGGGTTAAACAGCACTGAGCTTTGCAAAGTTGTTGTGGATAAGAAGGCATCTTGGCATAGTTAGTTATGTGTTGACACACTGTGACACATGGCCAATAGCAACTTGTGACTTGGCTTGAGAAGATACACTGCTTTAAGTGAATACTGCCCTGAAAATTCATATTTTCTGCCAAGGAGGTCACAGTAAAGCAGAGTCTTTGTGTGTGTGTGTGTGTGTGTGTGTGTGTGTGTGTGTCGAAGAAAGTGGTAGAGAAGGAGAGAATTTTTCATGAATATGTTTAACGGTGGAAGGCTATAATAAGCCCATGGAGGTGAGTGATAGTTGTGCTATCTGCACAGCAGAAGCCTATAGCCAGTTAAGTTACAGAAGAGGGCAGAACAAATGGCTCCACTAGGCTGAAAGAAGGTGGCTGGGGGAGAGAGATTGGCAGGGAGGACAGCGAAAATGAGGTAAAGACAAAAATACCAGGGCATGATGGCTAAGAGAAAGAGAGATGAGCGACAGATGTATACACAAACAGAGAAGGCTGCTAGAGAAGGGGACAAAGACACTGGATTGAAAGATAGGATTGAAGAAAAGGCTGCAGAGAGAAATAGGAGTCAGGGAGGGAGGAGAAAGGCAGAAGCACGAAGATGGAGTGAAAGCAGGGAAGAACAGGAGCGAAACAATTCATTTTCGCTGACAGTCAGCACTGAGATCCATAAGCGAACAGCTAAATATAACTCAGAGATTCAACATTCAAAGAAGCTTTTGCCTTGGAGAATAGAAAATATGGACTGGAAGACAGTCACACTGAGTTAGTTGCATACTGAAATACATTTCTTCATAGATATGGTTAATTAAAGTGACAGATAACTCCGTTCATTATGACCTAAGCTGCTGCGTAACAGAAATTTGTGGTGTGTTACAGTAATAAAATCCTGGCTGTTATAAAAATCAAAAGCCTAAGGTTAATGCTTGAAAGAACTCAGAATGTATAGCTATTACACAGTCTAAATTCTTTGCAGAAAACACATCAACATGTAATAAAGCTGGAGCCATGAAGTCTAAAAAACCATGAGGCAGATTTATCATGCACTCTGGGGTGTGAGCAGAGATTAGGTGACAATAAATAATAGGCTGAGAGCTGTGGAGCTTACATTACCTTGAGTCTGGGGCTGGGGTGATGGTGGGGACTATGGCTGTGTCTTTGAGTGGAGCTTTGAATGAAGCAGAGGCTTTGACTGTGGCTGGATCTGTAGCTGTGGCTTTAAATTTGACTGAGGCATAGGGTTTGAGGGTGGACGAAGCTGGAGTCGGAGCTGGGGCTCTTCCCGGAACAGGAGATCTGGCCGATGCTGGTTCAGGAGAAGGTGTTGGCGGGGTGGGGGAGGAAGAGGCACTGTCTGCTGTGATGGATGCCAGAGGGGGTAAGGACAGTCGAGTACGGTGCTCATCCACCTGATGGGCTGGGACATAGGTTATACTGAGGGTAGTGGAATGTGGGGGGAAAAGCGGTGGTGGGGGGTGGGGGGTGAAATCAATTTAGAATATTAATATTACTTAAGTTTTCCCATAAATCATTTTTCACAGCCACACACCAAGAATGACACCGACTAAGAGAAATGACATATATTTGACATTATCTTTGCCAGTTAGGGTGAAAACAATGGAATCCTGTGGTTTGAAGAAACAGTCTACAGTTTTCAGAAATAATTTATTCACTTCCATATAAAAAGTTAGATGAAAAGACTGATGCAACTCATATCTGTATGGTAAATATGAAGCTATAATCAGCAGTTGGTTGGTTTAGCTTAGCATAAGACTCAAAACATGTGCACACAGCCAGAGTGGATTTAGAAGGAGAGGGACATTTCCACTGATTCTATAAGGACCTTTTTTGACAGTAATGGTGGCTCATAAGAAAGTTGAATAGTTCCAAACATTAGGAACAGTGCCAGAGAGTTACACACTGAATTGGCTGCTATCTTCTAAAGTAAGTTAGTTACATGAATAGCATTAATTACACTTGTGACATTTTAAGTTAGTGACATAATTCAAAACATGTTTTTTGACAGTCTCTCTCAAATACTGTCACTTTAATGCATTAGCTACCCAGCTAACTAGTTCAGTTAGCTGAGCTACCTACAATAGAACTCAGAATTAGTTTGCAAGGCTGTACAAGTCATTAAAAGTAGTAATTTGCTGATGATTTCCACTGTTCCCTACAGACAAGAATGGATCTTAACAGTGGCACATGCAGGATTATATTTCTGGAGTGAGTGCAGCACCTCCATAGCTCATTGAGTTCAGCAGTCTCTCATCAACACCCTCCCTTACCAACTTTCCACACAATAACCAAGGTTGCTCTTAGGAGGTGCCCTTCAGTCTCTGGACCCAGCTAGCCTGCTCTGCAGAAGATACAAAAATCTGCCTTCAAGCACCTCTAAAGCTGAACACAAAGTTTAAAAATGACATGTTGTGGCTGCATGTGATGGACTGTTTCTCTGCCACACATGGTGACTGCTTACAGCATTGTCTCCTTGAGAGTGGTATCATCTAACTCATGGCAACAAAGCAAATATTTTCCAAAATGTCAAACTGTTGCTTTAAGCACTATCTGTTTGTCTGTTTCTCATCAAATAGCTCGGTGACTGATTTTGACTTTGGCCGTGGTGCCAATCTTGATCAGTCTTTAACCACAAATAAACAAGGGAAGGTAAAGCTGGACAACTGAAGTGACAGTACCTTTTTTATTAGCGCATACCTGAAAAACAATCAATAAACAAACACTAACATTTACAGAGGCTGGTATCTTACATATCAGATGATTAAGTATTCTAAAATTATAGGTTTACGCCACTTCCCTGACATTGGCTGTACTGCTGCTGGGACAAGATGAAAAGAGAAGAAAACAAGGTGACTAAATCTATATTTTAATGTCGCTAAAAGATACATTTCTGATTCAAGACAGCTCTACGAGCTTATGAAACACAGCATTTATAATAAAAAATGTCTTTTGCGTTTGCCCTGATCTATGGCATAAAAGATGTCATTCAATTCAAGTGTCAAGGACATCATTAAAGCCAGCTCCCTCCCACTCGCATTCTTGTGTGATGCTACCAGGAGACATTGATTGAATCTGCTGAAAGAGCCAATTTCTCTGTTCCTCTCATGGTGGTAGATTGAATATGGAGGTCTTCTGCTTTAAGCTGTTGCGATTGAGCCATGTGGACAGCTTGTCTTGTCTCAACAGGCGCAGTTTGATAGTGACAAGCCCTCACCCTTCTATGTCTGTTTTATTCTGAGGCTGCCAAAGCAACTCATCTGCCTCCACTCTCTGCTAGTTTGTCTGGAGTACTGTCAGGAGGAGGCAGTGTAAGCATGTGTGCGGGTGAATGCATGTGCGTGTTCACCTGAGTATGTGTGTGTGTGTGTGTGTATTATGTGCAAATCTATGACAGGCTTTTTAAAATGCTCTTTTATTCAGAAGCTCACTGTTCAAGGTGATATGAGTGATGAATTATTCAGAGATATTTGCCATAGAAGGAAAAAGGTGTTATCGGAGGTTATACCATTGAAAGGCTGTGCATGTGTGTACGTGCTTGTTAAAGCAAGAGAGAGAGAGAGAGGGAGTGGGTGTTGTGCAGGGCAGCAGGGTGGTGAAGGTGGAGCATGTCTCCAATCAGCCAAACAAGCATTATCAGTGTAGAGCCATAACTGCTGATGGTAGAGCAAGTAATAATTTACCCAATTCCCCCTCAGGCAATCTTTAAAATTTCATCATCTAATCTAATTTAACATGACTTCGGTGCCTCAGTCAACGATGACTGCAGCGTCAAAAACAAGGTGGTAATGGAGATCCAGAGTGAGACAAGATCATTTATAGATGATGATGTAGTGAAAGCCATGTTTGTGACTGTGGAGAGCACATCTTTATATTTATGATGAACATACACTTACTCATTTGAGTCAAGATCTGTTTGGGTAGATGTCAAAAATATTCAATTACTTTTTTCCAGTGGTTGATTGTTCTCTGCATCCCCAAAAAGACCTTTCTACATTTTGCCGTAACACTTTTGTTTTTCAAGCAAAGGTATGTTCGAACTATGACACGAGGGAAAATGCATATGAGTGTAATATATATAACTGACTGTAATCTGTTTCAAATCAGGAAAAATGAGGATAATTTACATATTTCAAACATACCGTATGTTATACACAAATTTGGCTACATTTACCTACAGTGTACACAATACAATAGCTACTGCCGATATTGTGGGTACAATGAGTTAAGGGGTCATTATGTCTGATTAGACTGCTTCAAAGACAGAGTGGGTGTGAAGACTGTGCTTGAATAATATGGTTTTGTTGCACTTTTTGGGGCCGGCGAGTTACACTTATACAGTATGGTTTTTAATTGGTTAATGTAGTTGTAATGGTGACCTCATATAAAATAGTCCTGCTGTTTTAAAACCAATAGTTTTCATGCTGTTTTTCCTTTTAGTATATAGTCACATACCTAAAACCTTTTTTTAAACTCTCAACTAAGCCATTTCCAATTTTGTTTGGGACAGGTCCTAACAGGATATGTACATCTCTTCATCAACTAGCAAGAGCTTCTTGGGGGACTTGGCCCTTCCAGACTATGAATTTAAATATTCATAAAAATCTTTTACTGGACACACTGCCCCTTTGGCCTCAGTGACTGGTGGAGGAAACCTTTTGTAAGCCAGCATCTGTGACGGCAATGCTTTGCTCCAAATTACAGTTGATACCATAACACTCAAACGCTAATCCAGTAGTTGATCAGAAATGTCAATAACTCACTGTAGACTTCAAAAGAAATGTATCGTTCCCTCCCTTATTGACTGAAAATATCTTTGATAGTTATATCCTTTTCTTAAATGTATTAAAATGCTAAATAAAGTTCTGTTTTGAAAAAAGATGTGTGAGCAAACATCAAGCTTCCTTCACAGTGCATAACTGTCTACATATTGTAACGCTGTTGGACAGTGGCTCCTCACCTTATCTCTGGCCCTATGACAGAGTGTTTGCGGATCATGGCCCTGGCCTTGGTGCTGGTTAGGTTGGAGGTAGGCTCTCCGTTGATGGATAAGATGGCGTCCCCCACCCCCAGCCTGCCATCCTGGCTAACAGAGCCCCCCTGGGCCACACTGCGCACCAGCATGCCTGAGCCGTCCTTGATAGCACTCACCGACATTCCTGCCAACACACACACGTGTACACAAACACACACATGCACGAGCTCAGGTGAGTGGAGGGTTGGCTAGGGCTGTTTTGAATGCATGCCAAACAGTCGCCCAAACAAACACCTGACAGAGGCATAATCAGCATAATCAAGAGAGACACTAGGCAGATTGGCGCAGAGACACAGCTACACATACTCGACATTTACACGGCATCATCCTTCACAGTCACACTCACATAAGGTGCACAAACACCGTCATACTCACACCCAAAGAGGGCACAGGTGAGTAGGAGGGTATCACATGCCAGTCACACAAACACCTGACTTTGGCATTATCAAACTGGACGGTAAGGCGGATTACACAAACACTTTATTAATGCAAACAGACAGAAGCAGGTAAATCAGATATTGCGCCCACATACACGTAGACCTCATGTATACATACACACACTGCAAAGAGGGAAAGCTACAATTGACTAGGTGTCCAGTCCACGGCGCTTTCACACTACATCGCTATCTAATGACTACACACATCCACAACACTATGGTCGCACATAATTTGAAATTGGTCAAAGAAATGACTTTGGGCTTATTTTTGAACAAATAAATAGTTTATTGTTTTTTGGTATTACATTCAAATTACAATACAATCATAGTGCCTGGAATACCGCACAATCAACTGGAGACACAGCTACTGATGCTGACAGGACAAACAGAAGACATGAAAGGAAATTAGGCTGAACATTTCAAAATCCAAACATGCTGCAGTATTATAATACAGCATCAAAACACATTTTCCTATTACAAACTCTGCTGCAAAAAAAAAAAAGTTAATGATTATTATTGGTAAATTCCCCGCATGAATATTTCTATGTAAAAGTTTATTTGTTTTGATCTTAACAAAACATCTTTAGTGTGCCATGAACTTACAGTAAGTGAAATGGGTTCACAGCATTTGAGAATAAACAAAGACTTCTAAATAGGCTCCTTATATTCACATTTTTAGATGAGCAAGGCAAGAAAAAAGACCTAATTTAGTCCATTGAACCTTTTCTTTTGACACCCTGCTCTCAGTGGTTGTTGTACAAACCAGCCATTCACTGTACATAAGTCTCCTCTCCAGAATAGGGCATTAGGTCATACTTTTGTAAAGGATAAAATTGTACACGGCACCTAATAAAGAAGAGGAAGGTAAAATAGTACAAATAAATATTGTACTACTATTGCTCATAACAAATCTCCCATATTCAAGCCTTACAGCTACAGATGGTAACTCTGTCTGTGTGGAAGTGTTTGCTTCAAATTCAAACATATTTAAATTTACAAAACCAAAAAAACAAAACAAAATTTGCAAACCCTCCACATGTGGATTTCAAGAAAACCATGCTACATTAATACCTCACCAAGATGACCTGCGATATTTTAAACAGATGAAAACCACAAAATGTGGTGACACGGACTGTAGGTTATGACCTTGATTTTTTCTACCTATGAACATTTACATAATTTCAAACTGTCTCACACACACACAGAGACACATAGTTTGGTGCCTTATTAGAGCACATGTCCGGAATATAGATGAGTTTTGTTATGTTTTGCATAGTGCCCTTAGCTGAAAGTGTAGGAGTGCCTTACACCCTGTTGTTTGCTCCCTGTCATGTTTGAATAGCCAAACACTGAACTTGCTCTTGGAGTAGACAATGTATTCTCAGTAATGAAGTATAAAAACTAATTTATTTAGATCAACACACACATATAATTCAATATTAACACCTTATATTAGTTCATTTTACCACGACCATTCAGGCCCTCCCTTACAGCCTAAACACACGTCTGTGGAGTTGTGTTTGTGAGGGCATTCACTGACATTCTGCATTCCCTAGCCCCTAACCTTACTCATCACAACTAAATAAGCTCAACCTGTAGCCTAACCTTAATCTAATTCTAACCTTAACTTTAAAAACAAGTCTTATTTCCTAAACAGACCTTCAAAAGTGATGACTGGCCAAAGTGTACCCATTTTCCCAAAATGTCCTCACTTCCACTCAAATGGTCCTCACCATACAAGCACAGACACACACACACACACACACACACACACACACACACACACACACACACACACAGAGTAAACACCTCCTCTCTCAGGTATGAGGAGCAACACTACTTCACCACTCTTCTTCTCGGCAGCTGTCATCACCACCGCCTATTAGCATCATTATCGCCATGCCAGCGACGTACAAACACCAAGACACCATTAACATGAGAAAGACGGAGAACATACCAAGGCTACGGTTGCCCCGGACAACAGTGATTGTCCTCTCAAAGCTGGTGCGAGGGGGCAGAGGTGGGGGTTGCTGCCTGTCATCATCTTCCATGATGCTGAAGCGATTACGCAGCTGATTTTCCTAAGAGAGAGATGTCAGAGGGCATGAGTGAGTACAATCATAAAGATGGGATGTACATAAAACAAATAAAAGTCTTCAGCCATGCTACAGTAGCAGCTCTGTGAAGCAGTACTTCGAGTTATGCTAATGTTTAGCACTTATAATACTGTGTGCCTATTACATTTTTTTTAGAAAGGTTTGACCTGATGATGGTCTTAGAAAAAAGATCAGGGAATTACAATTCATCCACTGCGGACCATAAATGTCTCTACCCAACACTGTGGAACTCAAACAACAACAACAGCAGATGTTAGATCAACATACTGGTAATATACTGGTGGTGCTAGAGGAAGTCGGAAGATCACCATCCTCTAGGGAGCTAAAATATCTGTTGCAAGTTTCACCACAATATATCTAATAGTTGTCACACTATTTCATCCTGAACCACAAATGTTAGCCTCATGACGGCCCAAGAGGAAAGGTTAGAGGAAAGTCTATAGGTTTCATGCTTTCTGGACCATGAATATCGGTACAAGATTTTATGCCATCCATCCAAATGTGCTGGAGTATTTCAGTCTGGACCAACCCACTGACTAATGAGTATTGCCGTGCCTTGATTCATGCTGCTAGCATGATATGCAGCAAATCTTATTACTTCTAGAAAAGTGAGCCATAAAGCAAAGCTAGCCTGGTGCTAAAGTCCAAAAGTAACTATCATCATGCCATCAGATTTCTGGTGTGATGCAAAACTTCTTTCAAACAACTCTCCAGGGTGAAGGCCTTTGGAGTAATTCTGAGATGTAAGACATGCAGAAAGATAGACTTCTTTGGTCCCCGTGGGCACTACACAAAGAAGAAGAGCAATGATGAGATCTTCTTTGAACCTTCACAGCAGGTACAAGCAGCACTGAAGTTCTGAAGCAACTTTCACAACAAGCCTGTCTTTGATGAGCCCACTCTGACTTTTTGTGCTCGGAGCCTTATTGTTTTTGTGTATGTGGAGCAAAACTGTATATCCTTGTGTTAGACCAGGTACCAATGGCATGCAAGCACTAAGCACTTTTAATTGAAAGGAAATTGTTGGTAAGCAATCAAATGGCTACCTTAAGAGGATTGAATTGAGGCCACAATAGAGGAACAAGTCTTTGATACTAAACACTTTCTCTTTACCTGACCCAGTGATACCGATACAGCCGGCTCTAAGCTCCTTGCTACAGAATGTGAACAGAGAGAACAGACATGGTAATCTCCTTTAGAGCAGCTAAAATGGCTACCCACAGAATCTCAGGTTTGCATGGTAATGAACAACGCTTCCTCTGTGACAGGCTGCAAGATGTAGACTGCTGCAGTATTACTGAAACTGGGACTGCAAAGATGTGTCCCGATGAGCCTACAGCATCAAACAAATGCTCATCAACAGGAATCCTGTACTGTAACATGACTGTGCACTATTGCACAAACAATAGTTCTCTTTCAAACCAATTTAGGCAATAATAAATTTATTTGTTCCAGATGTGGACACAGTAAACACAAAAAACTGATGCTGTAAAGAAAAAAACAAACTGAGCAATATTAGACCAACATATTTCAAAATGTTGAATGAGATGAAACAAACATGAAACAATGTTTTAATATCCACAAAAGTTAAAATGTGACCAGAAAATATGTTTAAAGAACGATTAGGTAATATTAATAATTTTTTGTGACTAGTTTTATGTTGTATGACATACCGTCGTAGTGTAACACGGCTGGAAGATGCTGCCGTCCTCAGAGCTGTGAGTGTTGGTGTCAGCCTCGGCTGCCTCAGCTAGAAGGCTGACCTGAGTGTGGCTGTCAGCGTCATCGCAGGAAGCCCTTGTGCTCCTCTGTGAGATGGGTGTTAAGCCTCCACACAGTTCCAGCTGAGGAATTCCAAAGTTGAAATTATGGAGTTTGAAAAATGGCTGTATGCTTCAAAAGTAAGCGCATACATTCACATGAAAGCAAACAGGCTAAAGAATGTGTCTGTAAATTAGACACCCTCCGTTTCTCTCCCCTTCTCTCCCCATCTGTAGTGTGGTCAAGCATTGTGTTCATCTCTCGGCTGCATTAAAAATTCAGATGGCCTGTAACTGGACTCTCTCTTCCTTGTTACTAAGCCACAGTCCAAAACAAAAAGGAGAAGAAAGATTGTACTCTCAAGATACAACATGAATTAGCATAATTATCTTGCATATCTGTGGAAATCTTGTTTTTTAATTATATTTATTAATGTTAGTCTGAAGATGATTTTATGTCAGAAAAAAACTTTTGTAATTATGGGCTGCATATATGTTGCAGTACATGATAATGAATTTGCTTGAGGACACATTTCTGCACATGTTGACAAAAGGTACATTTGTCTGTGGTCACAGATTTTGCCATAACATACTGTAAATATTTTAGTATCTATCTCTCTGACAGCTGCATATTTGCACTGTGATCAGGTATTTCATCTATATTTTATAGTTTTTCAATTGATTTTCAAAAATATACATACATAAAATATATATCAATGTAAAATTAAATATGCAGTGATCAAGGATTTTTATGTATCTTATGCCACTCTTAGTTTCTTATCTCTTAGTTAAGCATTTGTTTCTTATAGTTTAAACAAAGTTTACTCACATGACTCAGACAAATATTGAAATACACTTCTTATAAAATGAAATCAAGGCGTACCCCTGTCGCCTAGGAGTTAGGGTGCTGGCTATAAGACATCCCCAGTTCATGTCTAGTCATTCCCCATCTCTTCCTTCATTCCTCTCTTACTGTGAGATATCAAAAAAGCATCAAATGGCCCCAAAACACTTCTAAACCAAAATGAAGCTGAATACTTAAATTAAATGAATTTCACATACCGGCAGTGGTTTGGCAACGCCAATGCAGACAGGGCCATAGCCGGTAGACTTTAAGATGTACACAGCATAATCCAGACTGGCGCCTTCCAGGTTAGTATCGTTGACAAACATAAGTCGGTCACCAGGTAGCAGGCGACCGTCTCGATCGGCTACACCTCCAGGCACCAAGGACCGAATTACCAGAACTGTTTTAGTGGCATCTTCTGGATCCTGGAGTTAAACATAAGGATACAGATGACTGTTTATCAGAAATATTAATTAAAAAAATCTAAAATGAGTTAGATACATTGTGAATTAAAATTAAAGCTGAATGCAAGCAAATAGCAGGATAAAATGGACTCATTATTAATAAGAAAAGCAAACGTACTGGGTGGTCTCGCAGAGCGGCTACCAGCTATACATGTGTGCTCTTTACATTGCTTGAAAGCCTTCACGTTGGTTTTTGCTAAACAGTTCAATCTAAAATTGTGAGCAGAAAATGACAGAGTACCTTCCAGTCTCAACAATTACATGCACAAATACACACAATACAATATAAAAATATAGAAGTCCACCTCGCTGTTTCTCAATTTTCCCAGTTTTCCCCCTATCCAACCCAACCAAACACAGACTGCAGCCTATTCCAGGTAGGTCTATTTGTAGACAATCTCAGGGCCTTGTCTCTGACCTGGTAGTCCAGGATACTGAAGCCCAGTCCCGACTCGCCTTTCTCCAGCTCAACCACCTGAGCCTCTCTTTCCCACATGGCCAGAGGAGGTGACATGGGGGGCACACCACGCTTGGTGATGTCCTTAGCCGTAGGACAAGTAATGACACAGCCCTGGTCCAATTGGGACATGCAGTGAGAAAAGAGAAGGAGATCGATACACTATACCAGTAAAGAATGCTTCTGTTTCATTTCAAATAAAAGTGTGTGTAAAATGCTTAATCCCATCATTCATCCTTTCATCAGTGTGTGTGCATTCACCTTGTCATTAAACTCAGCCAGCAGCTCTTTCAGGGTAAGACCAACATCATCATCATCCTCATCACTGTCAGGAATTGAAGGGGGGATAATGCGAGAACACACAAGGCACACGCGCAGTGGCAGCTCCTTCAGAATATTGACCACCTCCTTATGTGTCACCCCAATGAGAGGGATCCCATTCACCTGCCAGGAAGATAAACATATAAACAGGAAAGAAAATGTATACACTGTTTCTAAAATAGATACACAGTAAGGGATTGGCTTATAGCTTCTGCAAAAATACATGATAAAAAAACCCTTTGCTGTTTATCAGAGATTAGAGATGTAATATATTCAGATTTCTTCTCATAAAAATAACAATATTTAAAGAATTGGATGTTACTTTGTGTTTGTGTGTATGTACAGTGTGTCCCTGAATAGGTCTGCCAGACAGTCCTTAAATTATTTTTAGGGTTTTCAGTCTTGGGAATTTAAGAGCCACAGCACATCAAGTCACAGCCAGAACAATCAAAGCTGAAAGTGGTAACTAAACCGACTGATGCTCATTTAAAAACGAAGATGAACAATAGCTTTGCTAGGCTGTTGTGGTGTGAAGGAGATCCAAGGTCTGTGTGTTGACCCAGATGTTGGCTTGTTCACTCAAAGGCAGAAAAGACAAAAGCCAGTTTGCACTATTTTTATGTGGCAAGCTAAGCTACTGTAAACTGTCCAAGAGTTCATTAGACTGCTCATCAGAATGAGTGATTCATGTGGGTGCGTGAACTTACACGCTGGAGGAGGAGGAGGGCAAGCTCCCCCTGCAATACAGGCACAGATGCACGGAGGCACACATATTCACACCCACCTTCTTGTGATTTTTGCTGCCTTAAAGGAAAAAGCTGCATGCTGTACTTGGACTTGTGTGGTGATTACTGGAAAGCATTAAACTAATATTGTATGGTTTAAGTAAAAAAAAAGGTGAAAATATGTTGTCTAATTATTCTTAATCAGATACAGCATATTGATAGTTCTTCAAAATTAAAGAAGCTGTTCTCTCCAGGTAGCTGCTCTAAGTGCACTTTAAAGAACAGGCTATCATTACTAACAGCTTGAATGAAAGCTGGAAACATAAAAGAAATGACGGTGATGTGAACTAAGGATAATCCAGGAGGGAGCCTTTTTCTTAGTCATCCTTTATATCCCACAGATGCGGCAGAAGAATCAGTCCCACATAGATCAAACAACAAAAGGATGAGTGGCAAAACAGTTAGCTGAAAAGACCAGTATCAGTCAGTTACCTCCAGTATCTGGTCTCCAGTGAAGATCTTGCCGCTTTGGCCAACAGGCCCCTCAGGCAAGACAGAGCACAGATAGTGATGCCCTGCCCGAGCCTCCAGACTGATGCCAAGGCCACTTGTCTCGCTGAAACGTTCCAGCTGACACACCTAAAAAAGCAATGTGAAAGTGGAGCGGTGGAAGCAAAGAAAGAAAAGAAAGGTTTAGAGGGTGAGAAGGATGTGGAGGATGTGGAGGGTGTGGGTAAGCATCATACTGTGACGTTAGCGGGGTTATCTTCTTTAAATTTACATGTAATAAATTAAATAAATATTCAGTAATAATATAATAATAAATAACTAAATAAAGTATAATATTAATATTTATAGATTGTGGTTTTCTCTGCCTTTAATGAGCATCATCATTACAGAAAAGACTCACAATAATTTCATATCGGGGTCCAACCGCATGCTGCCACCTCTTCTTCAGGTCTCCCTCTTCAGCTGGTGTCAGTTTCACACCTGTAAAATGTGCACACATACAAAAACAATCACGCTAATATCTCACACGCACACGGATATGCAAACAGAGGCAAACACACATCCCCATTCATACTGTTCGTAGCCTTATATAATTCAGTCAGTAAAGAATAGGATCCTATGTGAAAACATCACCTTAGCTATTTTATAGAGAGAAGACAGCATAATTTCCCTTGTGGCAAAACAGGATGTCAACACACAACCACTCAGACAGGCACACATACACACTCTCCAGGCACACAAGCATGCATATTCACACCCACCATCTTATAATTTCTTGGCAAACTGTTTTGTTTTCTCATTCATCTACTGAAGGCTCTCAGCAATCAGGGCTTATTTGACTGTGCTCTCTAATCAAGCCCAAAAATCCTTGTCTAAATAAAGCCATTTATGCAGGCGGGGTGAGAGACAAATCATCTGGACTGAGCTGAATGAGCTTGAGAAACACATGATTGCAAAACACTATAAATAGACTCCCATCAAAGAGCATGCTTCACTGCCACATACTGTAGCTGTTCCCTGAGCCCAATCAGCATATCAGACTAAGTCCCACGATCCAGTTCCAGACTGCAGTGCAGTGTGGGTACGAGAGCTTACCGTTTCTGGAATCATGTTGGGGTCGTCTGTTGGCATATGCTGCTCGCCTGGAGATTTCACGCAGAGAGCAGATTCCTGGGTGACGAGGAAACACGTCTGAGCACACCATTCAGGAACACAAACACACACAAACACACTTGAGTTGGCAAAAAAAAAGATGTGTACAATTTCACAGCAAGCAGTTGTGGGGTGACAGCATGCATGAAAAGTTCATAATCTGCCAAACGAACCACCATGTTTTAGTATTAGTTTGGACAGATACTGGAAATATATTTGCATTATTAAACAGATTACTTGTCACATTATTTATACACGGCTAAGTTAGTGCAGATTGTTCTCCATTTGCACAGTTACAGTACTTCAGTATTGATCCACTCAAAGCACCTGTCTGTTGAATCTTGTTGAGGCCCACTCTGTAGGGATTTCCCTCATGGAAGCTGTGGGAGTGTCGAAGGGGCTGCAGGGGAGGAACTGGGGGGAGGATGTGACTCAGATGGATGGCCTTCCTCAGCAACCTCAGTCTGACCAGGGAGCCTGTTCTCCTGAGCACCTCCATGGCCCTCTGCTCACTGCAGCCCTGCAGGCTCACCCCATCAACCTGAAGGACGGCGGAAGTGGTGTAAGAATAGAACAAAAAAGCCAGGATGATGCCACGGGTATGATGTAGACAGAAGCAAAGGGTTTGTGGATGGAGTGGACGGTTGGAGGTATGGCAAGATGGAAAGAATAAGTAAAAAACAAGAGATGACAAAGAGATGGATAAGGGATTAATGTAAAACTATGAATATTCCTAATTGGCATGGATGGAACAAACTGCTAATTTCAAGATGCTGAAAAAATGGATTCAACTGAGAATATATTAGAGACAACAAGGTATTTGTCTTCAGACAGTACAATATAAAAACCATCTGTTTTGCTTTTAGTGCAACTCACAGATAAGATGATGTCTCCGATGTGGATGCGTCCCTCTTGATCAACAGTGCTACCCTTTACTATGCTCTTCACAATCACACCGGCACTGTAGACTGAGAAGGCCAAGATAAATTAAAGAAAGACTTGGCACCTACTGTGTAAATGCAGCTCTGAACCATTGCTTGTATATAAGGATGGACAACATGACAGCTCCCTGAAGTGAAGTGAATCCACTGCAAATCAATCCCCCCTGGTGGTGGCCTCTGGTATAGGTCACAGATTAAATCCGGATTAAATCCCGCTCCCTCCATGTTAGTGGGCAGGACATGAGCCTAACTAAAAACTCAGAGTACAAATCAATTAAACTTTTCACAGAGATGGTTTTTGTCAAATTGGGTAGATGTCATCAAGCTGATTTGTGTAAAAGTGGACATTTTTCTGGTAAGGTTGTTTTTAACAAGGTATTTGATTATATAAAAAAGAGGTGTATTTCAGATGATCTGACAGCTTTGATTGGCACCTGATATGCCACTTACCTACTTGGTCACTACTGCACAGAATCTGTTTGCAAAATGTCAAGATGGCAGCCACCACATTATTTTGGCTTCAGGGAAGAGATGACGTGTATATTTTTATGTGCGTTCAATACTCTGAATTCATACACCAACAGTTATGCCTGCATTAAGGATGTATTCTTTACTATTTGTTTTCACCATCTTAGCTTGCAATAATGATAATTATTCGGTTTTTATTTCACAATGTTAAAACTTGGTAGATGTTATTACCTGAGTTTAAATCACCTATGTAGCCAGAGATGGTGAATCCCAGGCCCCGGCTGTTTTTAATGAACTGCACATTGAACTCGGAGTCATCATTCAAGTCACTGAGCTGGAAAGAAGAACAGGAAAAAAAAACTCTTATGCTCATCTTTTGGATTTAGAATTTAGGTGTTTACACGTTCAGTGTCACTAGATAGCCAATTATTGCTGTTATTTTTTACAATATGTTTTCACAATGATAACTGCTCCCTTTAAATAATTTTTAATAGAAAGAATATGTTTTAAATCCAATCTGCCTCTTCTTCAGGTACAGAGATATCCTGGACCTATTATTCTTTGCACAAACACAAACACACACCTTGCCATCTAAGCTGTCCTGGCCGTGGACAGGAGATGTAAGGTGGTTGTCCTTGGTAATATCCCTGGCAATGAGCAGCTTCACCTTGCTACCAGCATTTCGCAGCACCTGGACCAGGTGGCCATTTGTGAAAGGAGAACAGTGATGCATGTGACAATTAAACAATAACATAACATAAAATAAAAAATCTGTTAAGACAGCTGCCCTGGAGAGACAGCGTGAAATACAGTAGAATTGACCCATTCATAGAAAAGCTCAGAAATGGCTGTGCGGTGCTTTTTAACTGAGGAAGAGCGATTAACCGGACATACATTTTCCAAAGGCTTCATGCTTGAAGTCTTTTCTCTTGTAAAAATGAAAAATACAGCTTGGAAACACTTTTGATAAAGCATAAATCTCACCATTGTTTTACCTTTACAAGTAAGTGGCTGCTTTTCCCCCAGTGACCAGAAGGGGTGACAGTGAGCCCCCCAAAAATGTCCCACCTCTGCTACCATTTAGACAGACTTAGATCCAGTTTAAAACACCAACTACACAGACCATTACGGAAAACATAATTTCTTGCTTTGTTTTTTTTTTTATAAACGATACCTCACCTGTGCCACCTGCTCACTGTTCATGCCAGCCAAATCTGTATCTCCAATGCGCAAAATCTGATCACCACTACGCAGGCGCTTATCCTGGGGACCAGAATTATAACAAAAAACATTTAGTTTTGTTAAAATGTTTAAATACTGTACATTCTGCAGATTCGACTCAGCACATTTCACTTAGGTCCATCATTTCAGTATAGTGTTCTAAGATTTAACTCATTAATAAAGGAAATAGTTTTAAAATTATTTGCTTCCTTGCAGAAAGTTCAGTGAGAAGAATGATACCACCCACATGTCTGTCCATCAAATATGAAGTCAGAGCCAGCAGACAATTAGCTTAGCTTAGACTAGCTTCCTGGTGCTTGTTATCACTTTGATGTTGCCAGAAAATAAATAAAAATACCATAATCACAAGTGCTTGTTTTTACACTTCAGTTTCTGTACATATTAGTAAAACAAATAATACTGTAACATGTTCATTAGTGAGCTTTAGAGGGGCTGGTAAAGCTAATTTTATTTTCTAATTGTTGGACAGCCTTCCCAACTCCTTCAGGCTCTTTAAGCTAAAACAGCTCTTGGGTATGGCTTTCCATGTAATGGACAGATCTGACAGTTGTGTTGATCTTGTCTAACTTTTGGCATGAAACTGAAAATACATACATACAAACTACAGTATGCCTTTATTTAAATTTTAGCCATGTAATTGTCCGGCAGCTGGATTTACCCGTCCTGCAGCTCCTCCAGGAAGAATGGTCTTGACCATGACCCCTGTGCTCCGCCCTCCTATAATCCCAAAGCCGAGGCCTTTCCCATCATTGTGCAGTTCTATCATCTCCACATGACGCTTCTGACAAAGTACAAAACAAGAGGGACAGAGTCAGAGAAGGAAATCTATTCTAATTAAACTGGTAAAAAAAATAAAAGTGAAACAACATTAACAGGTGCTCAAGTGGTTTTACTTCCTTGTTTATCTACTGTATAACCACAGACACATACAGTATTTAGCTCTGCAATAACACCTCACATATAAGATGACTGTACCTCATGAGCAATAGTAGACAGGTTTCTCCCCATTGAGAAGGTACGAGAAATTCGCGGGGGAGTGCAGTACTAAAAAAATAAGTGACATGTGTAAAACAAAAGCAAACCTGAAATGACATCAAGTTAGCTGAGCAGTCTCTTAGATCAGCTGAAAGCCTCAGACAATGTGATATCCAGCTGTGCTTGAGTTTTATAATGCAATGCGATATTCTTAAATGTAAAATGTGACATTTCATACAGTGATGTGTTACATTTTACCACTAGAAAAAAATTATATTTCCAAATTGATTAATGAACTAAGTGTCTTAAAAATAAATTGCTCCCTGTTACTAAACTCCTCCAAAATTATCTTTCCTTTATAAAGCATATTTTACATACCTGTGATTCAGTGTGAATGCAGTTGTTCGGGTAGATGTCCAAGAATGGCATACCCTGTGAGTCCAGAGAAGAGATGCTGCCATCTCTGTTGAAGGATCTGGCAGCGCCGGGCCTTTGGTTTTCCATGGCCCATGTGTAGGAGTCACTGTGGCTCAGCATCTTCAAGCTCAAAGCCATGTCTGGGCAGGGGCCACAGTTCATGGACACAGATTTAGAAACGCCCTTCCTCTGGTAGGGTAAGGAAGAAACAGGTGTGACACATGGAGAAGAAAGATTGCCAGGAAAATGGATGAGGGAGATACAGAGATGGTGAAGGGGGTTGATAGAGAAGCGGGAACATTAAATGATGAAAGGAGATATGGAGACTGAGAGGAATAGGATGAGGCTGGGAGAGGGAACGGAAGGAAATAGGATAAAGAAGCAGTGAAAGGAGGGCATTGTGAGACAATGAAGAAAGGTGTGTGAGGGAGCTTTAATGTGTGTTATCCAAAAGTACAAAAAATACAGGAAGATAGGTTTAAAGTGGAACAGAGAGGGAAGAGATAGGAGAGCAGGAACAGTGGGATCTCATATCAAGGCTTCTCTTCAATACCACCTAAGCAACAAAACTGGTCCCTTTTGTCTTTCAGGTTTTCTGTTTCAATGTTTAAAAAAGGGAGTTTCGGTAGATGCTTATTTCTGATCTCTGTGCTATTCTATTTGGGCGGCTGTGGCTCAGAAGGTAGAGCGGGTCGTTTCCTAACCGGAGGATTAGCGGTTCGATTCCCGGCTTGTCCAGTCAACATGTCGAGGTGTCCTTGAGTAAGACACTGAACCCCCAGTTGCTGCTTGGGAGTGTGAATGGCCGAATAATGTGAAAGCGCTTTGAGTGTGCTGTAAAAAGCATAGAAAGGCGCTATACAAGTTTTTTTTTTAATTCCAACAGCCTAGACACCTGTAGAAAGAGCAGTAGCAGAATAAAAGACAGAACACTATAAACTTATACTTCTCTATATAAAAACCTACTTTTCTTAATAAGAAATAAAAAATTGTATTAAAAAAAATTTTCAGTGTCTGTCTTAATTAAAAATCCAGAACCATTTGATATAATCCAGTGCCATTTTTCCTGGAATGCTGAGATGCTAACTGGCTGCAGGCTCATGGTACTAATGTAATAAAGCAGTGTGTAGTCTAGAGGCTTATAGGGTTAGCCTATTACAGCACACCACCACAGGCAATTAAGCTGTGATGCATATCGCTAACAAGTAACTTTAACACTTTGATGTGTCATAAATGTCATGCAACAACATGTGCACATATATATGTGGGCTATGGATCAGCAGATGCATGCGAGTAAATATTGTTAGGGGATGTAAATCAGCCCCCACCAGAATCACATCCCAGACACACATCAGCTCAAAACTTTTGACAATGTTACAGATGACTTCTGCAAACTCACTGACACAATATATAGCCACTTCTTCCTCACTCTCTTTCTCTCTCTCTCCTTCTCTGGGCTTCAGTGGTAAGCTTAGGTAAGCTGATTACTCATCCAGTTTGGTTCCTGAATTCAGTATTTTGGAAATGATTCCGGCCCCTTCCACACCATTCAATATACACCAAACACCTACGCACTCATCCTCGCATTGTACCTTCACCCGGGGCTTCAGCTGAGCTTGCTGTAAGCTGAGTATATGATGGAACAGGGGGCTCTGCAGGACAGTTTTTAGCAGGGAGAGTTTCTCCTGTGTGGGAGCCTCTCCTCTCTCCCTCAGTTTGGCTTGCAGTCTCTCCACAGCCTCCAAGGCACTCTGAGTATCTGCAGATAAAGTGTATATATTCGTGTCATTCAGAAACAGGAGCTCTCCTGTTTGGCTTTGTGTTACTTTCAGCATGTTGCAGCAGGTGCTGGGTGACCTGAACTTAAAAGTACCCAAGTCTTGCAAAGTTACCTTGTTAAAGTAAAGAATCTCGAACAGCATCCTCACCACCTAAGCCACCGTGTCATAACTATTAAAAATGATTGTCTTTTGGAGAACTGAGTAGCCATGAAATAGTCTAATAGTTAAATAAAGAAATTCCCTAAACCGTAGCTGTTATTTAGTTTCAAACTGGAAATTTGGCTCAGTAGTGGCCAAAACCTAAACAAAATGTTCCTTTGCAAGGAGGATTTGAAAAAAACTGGAATCAAGAAAGATATCAGAGTGTGCTAACCCTTCTGCATTACTAAAAAGCCAAAGTGAAAAACTGAAGTGTTGTGTCAGGTCATATTGCCCTTGTTTATTTAGTGGAACAGCAGCTAATGAGCACAAGCCACAACTGCAGTAATTGTCTATGGCAGAAGGTTAAGACCCTGTAAACTCTTCACCGCAAAGTTTTGACTTCAGACCAGACCGCCAGTCCTGTGCCACCTGCACATGTAACTATTCCCTCCTGTCTGGCTATTGCAACCATGCCTGACATCTTAATTGTAAGCCTCTGATGATGGCAGTGGCGGGGAGCGTTACTGAGGTTACTGGAGCATGTTTGCCTTTAAACAGTGCTCTATATCTACAAGACACTGAATAGACTTACCCATGATTTCCATCATAGCTTGACAGATTGCTTAGATGAACTGTTGCTTTGTGACTTTCTGCCTCAGTTAAAGGCAGTTATTCTTCTCTGTTTGGCATCTGCAACACAGATGACAACAAAAATCAAAATGTTTGTGCTTCAACAAGACCTTGCATAGTATTTTATATTTTTATGACAGCGTGTTTGTGGAACTCAAAAATATATTTATGAAATGCAAATGATATTGTGATGTTTATCTTTGAACACATCTCCACTGCTTATACACTTAATTACAACTGTGGTAGAAAAGGTCTGGTATTCTCCCAAGCAAAAGAATAATTTGTTTAGACTATGTGTAATTACTTTACATCAGTTAAGCTGCATATATCTTTTTTTTTTTTACCTCGACATCCTCTCCTTCAGGACCTTTGCCATGTTTGTTTGCAAGCACCTTGCTTGTCAACTAATGCTCTTTAGGGGGATTTAAATCTCCTCCAACAGGCTTTATCAGCCAGTGATGCTGATCAACAGCGACACATGGCCTGCCGACTATTCTGACTCGGGGGCCGAAGCCTGCGCTGTATAGCTGCAAAGCATGACACCAATGACATGATTGGATTTGAAAAACCATGGACTGGAAATGACAAGACCTCATCTGAAATCTAATTAGGGGCCACTGATAGGTACGATGGGTATCGCAGTACTTAACATGAACACGGCCTCCATGGCCGCCTAATGAAATGCATTTCATATACCTGTTGATAATAAAGCGAGAGTAAAAAAAAAATAGACGAATGACTTACAGGAATTACTCAGACCCATTACTTTCTAATTTGATATGAAATCTCGACAACAATCTATTAATTTCTTTAAAAAAAATGATCCGGGTACTTCAGACCTATTGTTGTGACGAACAGACGGACATCATGGACAGTTCAGAAACGCTTGTTGCAAAAAAAAAGAAAAAAAAAGCCTCGTCTCACCTCCATTGCAGCGCCGGCGGACTATCAACAGGTCCCCGCTGAGCTTCAAGAACAGCACCTCCACCACCTCCACCACTCCGCAGGGTTAATTTACATGTACCGAGAATGATACTTTCCTGATGGGACAAGTCATAACAGCTGATTCAGAGATGGCAAGATATGTAGGAACAAACTGGGCGCTTTATTTTTCAGCATTGCGCCGCGTCTGGTCTGGTGAAAGCTCTGTGCAGTGCGCATGTCACCCTCTGATCTTCAGGCACAGAGGGCTCATCCCTAATGAAAAAGTAGCCCACGGTAATCCTGTCATACATTTCAGTGGGGCACTTTGCTGCTCATACAGTCCCTGTATAACAATTAAAAATCAAAGAAAAACATTTTTTAAGAATGTGAAAATAGGCTACCGTATCAGTGATTAAATATACTAATATATAGATATTAAAATACCAAGTTCCTACCCGAAGTCTAAGGTCTGAATCCTTGTAATACCGATGTTGCATGGAAATAGCACAATTTGACTTTGTTTATTTAGATTTACGCATATGGTCTGGGGTGAAACACAACTTTTCTTTTCAGTTAAGAAGCTAATATATTTAGACCTTAGACCTAACATCGTCAACTCACTGCTGCTGTGGATTTGTCATGCGGGCTCCCTACAGAGCAAACCGCTTTAGGCTGAATTGTTACACCATCTTTAATTTCTGGCTTTCTAAATTCCAAACTGGGGTCCAGGCACCACAAATAGGCATTTGATAGGTTCCCGGAGGTCGTGAGAAGCCTTACTGGGGACACTCATTTCACTTCCTCTTTATTTAGTTTAAGAATGTGACCATGAATGGAACTGTACAGGCTACATGTCGCAGCTGTCACCCAAAGGTAAAATTGTAATCATACATATTAATGTCATCAGCAACAACAATAACAAAAAAACAAAACACACTTCTCATTTGAATCAAAAAGTCATATCCACTGGGGGCAGTGAAAGGCTTGGGAACCTGTGTTTCACACGGTAGGTGGAGCCCTAGGTCCGGAGATATAGGAGCCAGATCCAGCGCCGTGTTTTCCACCAGACACCCCACTTCATCTCTCCCTCTTTCTCTTTCTGCATCCCCCAGGCAGGAATCGTCACCCCCTCCCCAGCCTTCCACCCACCCTCGACTCCCCGCCCGCCTGCAACGCAATGCTCCTGTCGCCGGGCTGCGCTCTGATCAACCGAGCATCCACCGCGCCGCCAAATTGGTTTGTCATTTCTGACCCCCCTCTCTCTGTGTGTTGACCACGGTCTCTGCTCCTCTTCGCTTTGCGCCTGTTGACTTCAGCAGAAGACAGAAAAAAATAAGAGCACCCGAAAAAGATAAGGGCAAAAAAAGGGGAGGGAGGGAAGAAGGACAGCCAGATAGAGAGAAATACGCCTCTGTCCTCCTCCTGCACCCCTCCGGACCTAGTGCATTTGGACGGACGCGATATCTCCTGTGTGAGCGCTGATCGGGATACTAAGCACGCAGCTATTGGTTTCTTAGACCCTCAGCTCTATTTGTATCCTCTCTTTTTGCCGACGTCCTTTTTTGCCACAGCAAGATTTAACCACGGAGCCGGAGTCAAGGCGCCAATCAGTGCAATTACTTATCGACTGGGAAGATAATATATTTCAGTTCAAGATCTGCGGTCTGGGGACTGTATGAAAGAGCGCAGAAGAGGTTCTTCTTGACTCCTTTCTGCGTTGGATGTGTAGCCCATATATGCGCCCATACCACTGCGACTTGGTGACACGGTAAGGATCCGTGCTTTGGATTTCTTCACAGATAGTGTAGAATTTTTGCAGACACCGCTGGTGAGCATTGGTAAAACTCTTGGTTGTATGTCAACCTGTGTCTGTCACTGACCTGCTCTGAAATCTATTGCAGCGCTGACTTTGGTTCTCATGGATGCCCATGGGAATGTGGCCTGCGATTGTTGTACTTAAGTGGTGCGGAAACTGGCCCTAATGGACGAGGGGGTAAAATGTACGTTAATACAGTTCCCCGTCTTGTAGATGATGGTCCAGCGGCTTGTGGTTGGATGGGCGTCGCTCGAATGTGAGATGTTGCTAAGACGAAGTAATGAGCAATGATACCAATTAACCTCTCCGGCAAATAATCAATGAAATTACATTATCCCACAGTGGCTTCTTGGTCAGGGTTTACACATAATTGTTATTCCGTAGCCGCGTGCAGGCTGTCTGCCTCACTGCAGGGCGCAATGACAAATCACATACTTTGGGATAGATGAGAAATAGACCAAGTATTCCTCTTTTTAGGGTTTTTTTTTGTGGTTGTCATTTGAGTATATTGGAATGCAGTTAACCCATCTGGGGTTGTGCAGGTTTGTCAGCTGCAGCCTAAAATCCACAGTAGCTGCTCTGTGAAAAAAAGGAGCATCCAGCAGGCCAGTGCACCCCAGAATACGTCAATCATGCGGATTCATGAGTGAAAGCTGTGGTTCTCATTTACAGAAGAGGCATCCGGGCTGCAAATGACCTTGATGTGCAGCAGAAAACTACTGAAGGTTACACAGTTCTTCGATATTGACCTAAACGGAAAAGAGCCAGCCCCCTCCGGATTTGCGGGACTATCAGTGTACAGTCTAATCTTTCTAATCAGCAGGCTGTATTTTTGAAAAGCAAATAAGCACAAAGCCTAATCCTGTGTCACCATACTGACGGTGAACTATATGATAAATCATAAGGGGTCTGTCTCACACAATAACTGTCCCTCTCGGTAATTTCAGATGCTGTAGCCTTCAAAACAACCCTTAATAGTCATTTGCTGCCTGTGTCTGCTTGGGGTACCTGTGAACTGGCCCTTTTGAATCACTGGGCCAACTCTCCGTGAATGATATAAAGGGTTAACCTGGGCTCTATAGGTTACATTGGTCGGCAATATGTTGACTCATCTGTCAGTGCCTCAGCTAAGAAAAGTGTCTCTGAGGAATCCACTGAGCAGGTGGGAAAATGGTCAGTACTGTGGGCAGACACTTTTTTTTTACATAGATTTGCTTGACTACCATTCTGGCAGCATCTGTTAAAGCACAGGCCTGTCTCCAAGGAGATTATTATGTTTGTGGATGAGATGAATATCACTAAATCATCTGTCATCAGTGCATCTGTTTGTGCCTAAGTGATCCTACAGTTCCTTGGCTGCATTTGTATACAGATTATTTGTTTTAATTGTTTGAGAAAGATGAAAAAAAATCAAATTTTCTCTCCAGACTGTGCTGTTGTTCTAGTCTTACAAGTTGTTCGTCAGTTTTAAACAGCAGAGAAACACATAACCTCAGTACTATTTGTGTTTTTCTGTCCAAACTGGTCTGGTTAACTTTTCTAACAGACTCGAATAACCTCTTCCGAGACTATTGATGCAAAGTGTGTTAAAGAGCATCTTGGGTCATGCTCAGTAATGACACCCACACAGCACTGATGACGCTGAAGCACCTGAAGCTGAATAATGTGCAACAGCAGTAATCAAGCAATCCGCTGACTGTAGGTTTATCTGTCCTCTTTTAATTAGGTCACTGATTAATTTCACTTGTTATGATGCACAAGGAAGACAAAGCTCCTTGTTGGGGGAAAACACGCTGCAAATTAGGATGATTGTGCTAATTCTGATTGTTCTGCTTGATTGACCGAGGCCTGACTTTCTTTGTTTGGAGCTGTTAACATAACACAATATTTGGTTTAGATTTGGCTGGGTCCAATATCAATACCTAACCTTGTAACTGAAGCAGCCTGCGATTTAAATAAGGGATCATATGTTAAACATCTTGAGCTCACATTGAAGCCTGGAGATAATGAAAATAAACGCTGGCAGACGACACGATCCGTTGCCGACAGACAATAACAAGACACATATATGCAGTTGAATATTGAGACAAGCAGGCGTAAAATCAGTTTGGTAACGAGTGTAACTATGCTTCTTACTGAAGTCTCTCTTTTCATTGTCAAGGGTTATTAGAGAGTCAACACATACAGCAATTAATTCTGCTTAGTGGGCACACACAACCTAAGGGCTGATTTCCACAGAACCATTTTACAAGTGTTTCTAAAGAATTTGAACTTCTTGGGATCCAGTCGTCTATTTAGTTAATTTATGCATGGTGATGTAAATGTTTGTGTCAGAGAGCCTTGTAGATAAACAGAAGATGCTGTTTATTCTACTCAAATCAAAGCATCCTGCAAAAGCAAACAAAAAGTGCAGTAATAATGTTAAGTTTTAATGAAATGATGATGATCCCATTCCTGGTCTCAACCCTTCTTCATGCACTGAGTTTAACCTACAATTCAAAAGCCCGTTCCCGCGCTGGATGGCATATCTCTCTCGTATTGAAGTAATGAGGCCAGATCCTTGCCCGTTTTTCTCATCCACCTAAAGCACTCGGTCGTGTGTTAACACATCCTTCCTTTTACCCTTTCTTTCCCTTAAAGAATAACCCCAGCTCCCTGCATTTTCCACTGTCAGTTGGAGCTATCAGCTCAGTTCACCTCTCTTAATCTGTGAAGCTCGCTTTCGATATCATTCAGCCCTATTAGAGGTTCGCTCCATGCGAGATGACTACACAGTTACTTCACTATCTGATTAGATATATGCTTGGAAAAGTGGAAAATCACTAGTAGCCAGCTGGCTGTCAGATCTCAGGGCTTTCACTGACTCTGTGCTCCTATGGCAGAATAGCCCTCCAGAGATAGATGTCTTACTCTGCCTACACATGGAACTGTTGCAAGGCTTTCTGCACAAACCACTCCAGCCTATTATCTGTCTGTATTTTGTGACTGATTGGAGGAAATGCACACTGTTGACCTGACTGCTTATGTCTTGTGTTGACTGGGCTGTTTGTGTGTAGCAGGGATTGTAATACATGCTGTAATCCTGCTCAGTAGTTATGGGTTTGCTTAGCAGTATGTTATAATCATGCTATTAAACAATTTCAGCGAGGCTGTGATGTGAATCAGCTGGTGGTTCTGAAGTGCGAGACAAAGAACAAAAATGGCCCATGTGATGGGAGTAAGCCTAACAGAGTGGAAACGATAATTTGATTAGTTATTCATTGACTTACAGAAAGTTAGTTGGGAAATATTTTTATTATTGATGAACTGTTTGATTTTTATGTTCTGAGAGTTTGCTGCTTTTCATCTGGCTCCTGTGAGAGTTAATTTAATATCTTTGGGTTT